ATAAATGGCAAGGGTCGATGCGATTCGAGGAGTTTGACTTGGAGGACTAACATTGTGTGATTGGTTAGGACTTGCTTGGAGGCTAAGGACCATTACGTTGAGTAGTAGCGGAGGCATTGGGAATAAATGTCAAGGGCCAACACCGAGCACCGTATAGAAGTGTCGATGCTTTAGCTACGCAGAGTAAGGGGTCGGTACGACTCGAAGGAGTAAGTCTTGGAGAAATTAAGAAAGAGCACTAGTGAGTTAAGACGTGAGGCTGAGTTTGACATGTATGATACATTTTGTAGTTAAACTTATACATAAACTGCTTCTTGAAATATGTTTATTTCATTTAAGGCTCGAGATTAATGATAAGCATGGTGTGTTGACTCTTTGATAAGCATGACACGTTGTACCTTTTATAAGCATGCTGTTTGTGCGTGACCCTTCAGATAAGGGCTGCTTACTGAGTACTGTGGTTGTACTCATCCCTCTTTTTCCTCCTCCAGTTTTGCGGGTATCGAGCTAGCTCTTGGGATGGTGATGGCGAGGAGGAGGCTTGACTAGAGAGACCATTTAACGCTGCGTCGTTAAGTTTTAAATTTGGGTAGGATAGTTATAGTTGTTTATTTGTAACTGAGTATGTTTTGAGATTATAAAATTGGGTTGTTAAGTTCCATTTTTTTTTAAAGGATGTGTTAGGGCTGTTTTGTTTAGCGTCAGCTTATGTAAGTGTCATTAATCAGAATGGCGCAGCAGAAGCGTGGTGAGAATTGTTAAAGTTTGTATTTCTAGTGGTTTAATTCTCTAGTGCGAGTGATACTTTTAAGTGGCTTTTAGTAACGTTCCCCGTTGAGATGTTGAAAATTCTGGGGCGTTACAATTCCCAACTATTTTTGAAATAGTCGGGACATATCAATATTCCCGACCATTCTACAATAGCGTCGATAATTTTTTTTAATTTTTTTAAATATTACAACTCTCGACTCTTTTGAGAAAGAGTCGGGAAAAATAGACTTTCCCAATTATTTTATTACTTGTCAGGCAATATCGTTTTATTTTTTTTAAAATATTATTCTAAATAGTCGGGGGAAAAGTGAATCTAGCCAACGGTTGTTGATGTGATCATATTTGACCCAATACTCTAAGATAACACCTACACCAACAAGGAATAGGAGCTTGAGGAAAGACCTCCCAAACGAAGGAGACTTCATTGGACGCATCAACAAATTTTGATTATTTTGAAAGCCAATGAAGAATCCACTAGGGTCAAGAAGAAGAGACGTTAAGCGAGTCACCCTATTTCAAGGACAAGCCTATCGAGAGGCCACCCGCACACACACGCAAGCACCGGCAAGAGCATGCCCCTACCGCGCGCCCCTGTCGCGTACGCCAACGTGACGCTAACCTCAAAACACATGCGCCATGAGCGCGCTGCCAGCCGCTCGCGTGCTAACGCCCGTGCAAGCTCAAGTGCCCGCACGCCCCAATGCCCATGCCCGCGCGTGCCGCACGCTCACCAAAGTCCCTGCCACCCTTACACGCTCAAGCA